GGGAATCCAGCAACATAGCCATTGTGCAAACTGCTGGTCCCAAGGATGTTGTTTCTTATCAAATATTTTTTCCTGCATCAATTGATATGATCATATGGTTTTTACCTTTCTTTCTGTTAATATGGTGTATTACGCTTATGGTTTTATGTATGTTCAACCAACCTTGCTGCTCTGGAATAACACCTATCTGGGTCATGATGTATGTGGATATGATATGCTAATATCTTGTTGAGAATTTTTGTGTCAATATTCATCAGAGATATTGGCCTATAGTTTTCCTTCCTTGTCCTTGTCTGTTTTGAGGATAAGGGTGATGGAGACTTCATAGAATGAATTAGGGAGAGTTTCACCCTTTTGGGTCTTTAGAAATAACTTGAGCAGAATGGGGGTTAGCTCTTCTTTAAAAGTTTTTTATAATTCAGAGGTGAAGCCATCAGGGGCAGAATTTTTCTTTGTTGAGAGATTATTTATTACTGATTGAATCTGCTGGCTTTTTATGTACCTATTCAGATTTTCTACATCCTCCTGGCTCAATCTTGGTGGATAATATGTGTCCAGGAATTTATTAATCTCATCCAGATTTTCTTATTTGATGGCATATAGTTGTTCATAGTATCCTCTTATGATGTTTTGTATTTCTATTAGGTCTGTTATATTGCCTACTTCATTGCAAATTTGCTTTACCTGGTTTCTTTCTCTCTTCTTCATTTTCTTTTTCTTTTTTGGAGAGGTTTTTTAATTAATTAATTAATTAATTAATTAATTAATTTTATACATAGGGCACATATGCTCGCTGGAAAGACAGAGAGAAACAGAGAGACAGAAAGCAAGATATCACCCCCTAGGGTGGATGGCCACACTGTAATCCCTTGTCCAGTGACATAACTGTTATGCCATCTGCTTGTCCACTCTCTTTTTGTTAATTAGTCTAGCTAGCGATGTATCTATTTTGTTTATCTTTTTAAAGAACCAGCTTTTACTTTCACTTATTTTCCATATAGTTCATTTCTTTCTTTCTTTCTTTCTTTCTTTCTTTCTTTCTTTCTTTCTTTCTTTCTTTCTTTCTTTCTTTCTTTTTTATTTTTCTCTGCTCATATATTTATTGTTTCTTTTCTCCTGAATTTTTTTTTTTTTTTTGATTTTTTGCTGTTGCTTTTCCAATTCTGTGAGGCATGATGTTAGGTGATCCATTTACCTTCTTTCCATCTTATGTGCACTAATTGCTATGAACTTCCCTCTTACAACTACTTTTGCAGTGTTCCAAAGATTATGGAAACTTACGTCCTCATTGCCATTGGCTTCCATGAATCCTTTGATTTCAGTCTTTAGTTCTTCAGTAGCTGTGAAGTCATTCAGGAGTAGATTATTTAGTTTCCAGGTATTTGTATATTTTTGAGGATTTTTCTTGAAATTAATATCAAGTTTAATTCCATCATGGTTGGAGAAGATGCTGGATATAGCTTCTATGCCTTTGAATCTGTAGAGGCTTGCTTTGTGCCCTATCACGTAGTCAGTCTTCAAAAAGGTTCCATGTGGGGGTGAGAAAAAAGTGTATCTCATGGTTTTTGGGTGAAAAGTTCTATAGATGTCTTTTAAGTTCATTTGATTCATGGTATCATTTAGATCCTTTATCTTTTTACTAATATTTTATCTAGATGATCTGGCCAGAGGAGATAGTGAGGTGTTGAGGTCTCCAACAATGATTGTATTTCAGTCTATCTTTTCTTTTAGATCTAACAGTCTTTCCTTAATGTATTTTGGTGCTTGTGAGCTAAGTGCACAGATATTTATAAGTGTTATATTTTCTTGATGGATTAGCCCTTTAACTACTATGGAGTGCCTTCTTTGTCTCTTCGAACAGTTTTTGTTTTATAGCCTGTTTTGTCAGAAATTATTGTGACTACAGCTCTTTTTTGGTTCCCATTTGCATGGAAAAACTTTTTCCAACCCTTCACTTTTAGTGTATGTATGCCTTTATCTATGAGATGTGTTTCTTGTAGGCAACAGATAGAAGGTTTCTAGTTTTTTATCCATTCAGCCAATCTGTGTCTCTTGATTGGAGAATTTAATCCATTAACATTCAATGTTATTATCGATATTTCTGGACTCATCCCTACCTTTAGGTTGGCCATTGTCTTGGTTGTTTTTTATTTCTTTATTTCTGGCAGTTCTTTCTTTTCTTTTCCTGGAACAGGACTCTCTTCAGCGTTTCTTGAAGAGCTGGTCTGGTGTTGGCAAATTCTTTCAGGTTCTGTTTGTCAGAGATGATTTTAATCTTTTTTTCCCATATAAAGAATAATCTTGCTGGATATAATAATCTTGGTTGGAATTGTTTATCTCTTACTACTTTCAATATGACTTTCCATTCTTTCCTTGCTTACATTTTTTTCCATTGAAATATCTTGTGTTAGCCTGATGGGGTGACCTTTGTAAGTCACTTGTCATTTCTCTCTTACTAATTTTAGTATCTTGTCTTTACCTGTGGTCTTGGCCAGTCTGGCTAAGATGTACCTTGGGGAGGATCTTCTTGGGTTGATTATATTTGGGATCCTTTGTATTTCTTGGGTCTGGATGTGTGAGTACTTCTCTAGACTTGGAAAGTTTTCTTCCAAGACTTCATGGAATAGATTTTCCATGCACTTATTAGTTTCTTGACCTTCTGGGATACCAATTATTTGGATGTTTGGACGTTTAATGGATTCTAGTATTTCTTGTATATTATCCTCATTTTTAAAATTATTTTCTCTATGTTTTTGGTGTTTTGATTTCTAGGTCAGAGGTTTTATCTTCTACATTAGAGATTTAATCTTCAGCATGGTCTAATTGGCTTTTAATACTTTCAAGAAAATTTTTGATTTCCTGCATTATAGACTTCATCTCTAACAGTTTCATCTGATTTCTTATAGTGTCCATTCCTTCTTTCAAATTGTGGAAGGACTTCCTTGTCTCCTGGAGTTCATGGTCTCTTTTCTGTTCCAACTCATAGAGGTTTGTCACTATGAATGTTCTGAATTCTTTCTCAGAAATTTCTGTAACTTCTAATTTTTTCAAGAGATGGAGGGGAGTTATTTTGTTCTTTTGATGGAGACATATTTCCTAGTTTCTTCAAATCTGAGACTTTTCTTCTTCTCCTAGCCATTGGGTGATGTATTCACTTTTCGGTACTTTTTGGAAGAAAGTTTCTACCACTGGGAACGAGTTTGCTACCCTGTTGCTGTGGATTGATGTGTACCTAAGTCTCTCTTTGGCTGTTTTTAGCAATGTAGTCCTCACAGGAAGAGTCTTTTATTCAGGAGTCTAAAGAGCAGTTTCTCCTTTTTCACAGGTAGTTCCTGAAAGTGAGGATCCCGGGGAGCATCACAATACAAGGGCATTTGAAAACTTTGATTCTAGACCTGTCTAGTCCCTCTGCATGGGTGGAGGATGAGGAGAAGAGGACAATATAATAGGGAAGAAAATAGTGTATGAAAAAGGAAGAAGAAAAAGTTGCTAACCACGCTTCACCATGGGGCTGCGGATCTAATTGGACTTTGCTGGAGAACTGGGGGCTGACCTATGAGGTAAGAAGAAGTAGGGAATTAGCAAAAGAAAGGGAAAAAAAAGCAGCCAACCTTTCTAGTGTGTGTTGGGGGGGGAGGCCCTTAGGTTGGGAGAGCTGGACTGGGGCTGGAGCTGGAGCTGGGGCTGGGGTCAGTGAAAGGCCCTGCCTCAGTGTCCCTGATTAGCCATGATTAGCCAGGGAACTGCGGATGGAACTAGGCTCTGCTGGAGAGCTGGGGGCTGCCCTGTGAAGTTAAGAGAAGTAGGAAATTAACAAAAGAAAGAAGAGAAAAAATAAAAGCAGCCTAACTTTCTGGTGGGGGGAGGGTCCGAGGTCCAAGAGCTGGGCTGGAGCTGGGGCCAGGGCCAGTGAAGGGTCCTGTCTCAGTGGCCCTGACTTGCCAGGGGGCTTCCGATGGAACTGGCACATTCCGTCATTTCGTATCTCATAGAGCACAGTATATTTTTCTCCCTCAGTGTGCTTATTTTTCTTTCCATTCTCTTACCAGTTTCTTTTTCAAAGCAGAAGTTTTAAATTTTAATGAAATCTCACTTATAACCTCTTCTTTCATGTGTTGTATCTAAATATTTGTTGAAAATCCAAGGTCACCTACATATTCTATTTTATGTTCTAAAAGTTTTGTAAGTGTTAACCTTATAATTAGGTCTATGATATGTTTTAGTTAAGGTTTGTTGAAGATATAAATATCTACATTGATTGATTGATTGAGTTTTACATGTGAATATTTGATTATTTAAGGATAATTTGTTGAAAAGAATATCCTTTTTCCATAGAATTTCTTTTATTCATTTGTGAAAGATCAGTTGATTATACTTGTTTGGATTTATTTCTGGTTTCTTCATTCTATCCCATTGATTAATTATTTTTGTCAATAGCACACTGTTTTTATTACTGTAGCTTTATAATAAATCTTGAAACTGAGTAGTGTCAGTCCTCTAATTTTATCCTTCCTTTTCAATATTGTACTGACTATACTAGGTCTTCTGCCTTTTCATACAGACCTTAGAGTCAGTCAATAACTACAAAATAACTTGCTGGGATTTTGTTTAAGATTGCACTGAGTCTATAAATTAGGGGCCAGCAGGTGGTGTGGTGGTAAAGGGCATTGGATTCCCACATGGCTGACTGTGTTTCAAGGCCTATACCTGGGGGTTTACTTTCTTGCTTTCCCTCTCTCTCTCTTATCCTGTCTTCTCTGGTCAAATTTAAATAAGTAAATAAAGTTAAATAAAATAACTCTTAAAAAATATTGCATTGAATCTATAAATTTAACTGGAAAGAACCAACATCTTGGCAATGTTGAGTTTTTCTATTCGTGAACATTGGATATCTCTTTGTTTATTAAATCTTTGATTTTTATTCGTCAGATTTTTGTATTCTCTTCATATACAGGGGCTAGTGTAAATGGTGGTGTGTTTTTAAAAATCCAGTTGTTTACTGTTAGCATGTAAGTATTTAATTAACCTTTGCATATTAACTCTGCATTCTTTAGGCTAGCTGCAATCACTTATTAGTTCTAGGAGGTTTTGTCAGTTCTTTGGAATTTGATACATAGAGAAATTATATCACCTAAAAAGAAAAGCAGTGCATTTCCTCCTTCCCAATTTATATATTTACTATATTCTTTCTTGTCTTATTGTGTTAATGAGAACTTCCAGTAAAATATTGAATACATTTGTCAATAAGAGACATTCTTACCTTGTTCTTTATCTTAGCAAAGAGGTTTATAATTTCTCATCATCAATTTTCAATTTTCCTCTATTTCATTGAGCACTTTTGCATCTATGCTGAGAGATCTTTCTGTGTAGTTTTTCTTTTTTGTGATGTCTTTGTTTTTGACATTAGGGCTATACTGACTCATAGAATGAATGAAGATGTGTTCCCTCAGCTTTTTTTAAGAGAGATTTTTGCTACAGGGCAACTGTTGTCACTGGAGAGACAGAGAGAGACACAGAAAGGTGAGAAATCATCCCCCAAAGGGTGGCCATGCTGCAGTCCCTTCTGCACGCTCTTCTCAGTATCTTCAGCATGCACATATATGCACCCAGTGTGAGTTTCAAGCTACTGAATTTGGGATTGAGCTACAGTTGACTGTGGAAGTCTGACAACATAACCATTACACCATCTTCTGGGCCTCTATATTCTCTCGGTTTCTATTTTTTTGGACAGATGATAAGTAATTAGTATCATTTCTTCCTTAAATACTTGATAGATTTCACCAGTGAACCCAACTGGATTTGGTACTTTCTGCTTGTGGGAGGTTAATAATTATTGAAGAAATTATTTAGCAGATGTAGGCCTATTCAGATTATCAACTTTTGTGTCTTTCAAGGAAATGGTCCATTTTATCAAAGATATTCAATTTATGGACATAATAGTCTGTTCATAATATTAATTAATTATCCTGTTAATGTTTGTAGGACTTTTGTCATGCTTGCTCTTTAAGTTCTGATATAGTAACTTCATTTTCAGTTTGGGAAGTTTCTATTGATTTATCTTTAAGCTCTCTTATTGTTTCATTGGGCTTGTCTAATCTACTGATGGGCTCATCAAAGGTAGTCTCCATTTCTGTCACCATATGGTTGATTCTGGTTTTTTTCTTAAGGTCTCCATTTCTCTTGTTAACATGAATCTATCTGTTCTTACATGTCACTCACTTTTTCCATTATAGTTACATTAAATCCCTCAGTGGATCACTCCACAGTCTGTCATAGCCTGGATTTGGTTAGGATGCCTGCTTGTGTTCTTCAGACCATTCTTCGTTTATGCCATTTATCATGCCTTGTAAATTTTTGTTGAAAGCCAGACCTGATATCACAGATAAAAAGCACTGAAATACATAGGACTTTAGTGCGGAATTTTATATTTATCTGATTGGGAGTTAGGTGGCGGTTAGTGTTTAGCACAGCTGCGATGTCAGAGGCAAATATTTCTCTTAATGACTTTGTCTTTGTCTCTCCTGTTGGCTTGGGCTGCCCTGGAGCCTTCCTAAACAGACTCTGAGACGTGCCTGTCTTTCAGGTACAGCCCCCTCTTATACAGAAGCTCTATTGATGTGCTGGAACAGCATGAGGAGAGGAAGCATTCCACAATCACAGGAATATAGATGGTCCCCAGGGCACGTCCAGGCCACTGTTGGCCCGCCTGCCTCTGTCTTCCCCATTGCATACCAGAGACCTTGAACTGGGTGTTTACCTTTTCTCAGGTTGGTTGGACTCTAGCTTTTGGCAAGGAGGACAGAGCATTCTTGTAGCATTTCAAGATGTTTACTTTTCCCTCCTCTTTCCAGAAACAAAAAGAGTCTTACTTTTCCAAAGAATTATTTATTTAATTTATTGTTATCATTTTTTAAATTTGCTGCAAGTCATGCATGCTCACCAGAGAGAGAGAGAGAGAGAGAGAGAGAGAGAGAGAGAAAGTGAGAAAGCACCCACCAGATCTGAGACTTGAACCACAGTTGGCCATGTGGGAGTCCAGGGTCCCAACCACCATGACACCTGTTGGCCTAAAGAGCCTTATTTTTACCTTAAGAACTTGGTGGGGCTGGGACAAGCAGTTAGCATAATGGCTATGTTGCTGGACTCCCACATAGTTGACTGTGGTTCGAATCCTGGACTTGGTGGCTTAAACTCACGCCAGGCGCATGTACGTACATGCCGAAGACCCTGAGAGGAGAATGGAGGAGAAGAGATTGCGGCATGGCCATCCGCCCTGGGGGGTGATTTCTTGCTTTCTGTCTCTCTGTCTCTGTCTGTTTGGTGAGCACACGCACCCTATAGCAAAAAAAAACCTCTCCAAAAAAAGAAAGAAAAAGAAAAAAAAAAAACAGAAAAGAACTTGGTGGGGCTCTTGGAGGTAAAATTCTTGAATTGTAAGTCTTTTCGAGCCTAGGACATGTGTACATTTAAATTCTCAAAATAAGTATATTAGTCAACTGGCACAGCAGCTACAAAATACTGGATGGCTTAAACAACATTTTTTTTTTTTTCATCCAGTTCTGGAGGTCAAGAAGCTTAAGGTCAATATTCTAGCCCATCCGGAACCAGACTTCTTCCTGGCTTCAGTCTGTGTTCAGGTAACATTTCTTTGTCATGTGCAGTGGGAGGGGCAGAGAATCTGGTCTCCCTCTTTTTATGAGAACACCAATTCTATTGGCTGAGAGCCCGGCCATTTTAACCTCATTTAACGTAAGCACCTCAAAGACCTTTATCCAGGTTTAGTCGCACGGTGGGCGGGGGTGTCAGGATTTTGACAGAAGAGCTTTGAGAAGGTGTAATTCAGTTCGTAGTACCAGTTTCCACTGAGATTCTAGCAGCGTATCACTACAGCTAAAGTGTCCTGCCAGTACTAACTCCAGAAGAGGCGTCCACTCGGGCTTCAGTATGCTGTGGCTCTCAATACTTGCCTCGTTTTCCATTTGGGGGACATATTTTCTCTTTGATCTCAGTTCTCTCATGGATCTTAGAAGAGTTGTTGGTTTTATGTATTTCTTTTTCCAGCTTTTTCTTGTGAGGGAGAAGTGGTCAAGTGGTGACTAAACTCTTTCAATGTTAGAACTGGAAACCAGAAGTTAAATGTATTTATTTAAATCACACATTTGAAAAAGATCTCTGCATTTTCTAATATGAAACCCACATTACATTCTTTTTCCTTTCTTTTTCTTTTTTTTTACATTTGCCAGAGAGATAAAGAGACAGAGAGGGAGATGGAGAAAGCATTTCCTAGTGGAGTGTCATCACACTGCGGTCTGTTCTCCACTCCAACCTGTCAGAATTCTGGGCACACACGCACACGCACCTACTGTGTTTTCCAGGCCACCAGGATTCCATCACATGGTCAGCCATGTGGATTCCAACTCCCTTAACCACTAGGTTATGGGCCAGCTCTTCCACAGTACATTTTTATATTTACAGGTAACTTTTTAACAAGTGCTAATTGAGTAAGTTTCTGTGTATAATTAATGCAGGCTCTTTAACAGACTGGAATTGTATTTTAATGCATCATGGGTGACAGAATAAGATGAACTACTTCAATATGTTATAGCCACGGTACGGACATACTGTAATCAGAGCTTTCCAGGTGAGCGTGTAATGCAGTAATGCTCACGTCCTCCCCTGAGATCACACGTGAGGAACAGCACTCATGCTTTCAGCTCCATTCCCAACTGTGTCTGGCCTCCACGGGAGCTTTTCTGGTCAATGGCATCACAAGAAAGTCCCTGAGCTTGCCGGCACTCCCACCTCTAGGTTGTGGTAGATGAAGGATGCTACGCTGCCTATGACTTTAAAAATAAGCCATTCCAGTACCATTCCTTTTTCTTTACCTATTTCTTCTGTGACAGGGAGAAAGAGAGCAAGAGCGAAAGTGCCAACAGGGTGGCCCGCGATGTCTTTACCCAGTCTCAGCGTCTGGCCTAGGGAGAGGTGTGTGCACCAGACGCTCCAAGAGGACCGGGTGGAGCCCAGGACCCTTACGCGAGCCCAGCTGGCGCTGCTGTGCTGCAGCACGACTCCACCTTTGCTTCTTAACATCAGATAGCAGTGGTATGTTCTACGATTCACTCTTTTGGCCACAAAACAAAGCAAAGCAAAGCAAAACAAAACACATCTTTTCTCCATACTGCTGGAAAATCAATTCATTTTAGCTAAAGTGAGCCAATTGAATTCCAAAGTCATTTTGGGGTTATTTCCTAGTTTATTTCACATGGAGTTAATTTCACTGAAACTATCTCACGGAAACAGATAAAGGCAGTGGAAAGATACGCATTCAGTGGATTCACAATAATAATGCATTCCAGGACCAGCATAATGGCTATGTTGCTAGACTCCCATGTAGTTGACCGCAGTTCGAGTCCTGGACCTGGCGGCTTAAACTCATGCCGGGTACATGTGTGTGCGTGCCCAAGATCCCAAGAGGAGAATGGAGGAGAAGGGATTGTGGCATGGCCATCCCCGCTGGGGGGTAATTTCTCACTTTCTGTCTCTCTGTCTCTCTCTGTCTTTCTGGTGAGTGCCCCCACCCTATAGCAAAAAACTCTCCACAAAAAAAAAAAGAAAAAGAAAAAGAAATCATAATAATGCATTCCAAGAACGAGGTAAAGGATGCTATTGAAAATGCGAGCTTTCTTCATTGGTGTGACAGTGACAGGGACCATGTTAATTTCATTATCACAGTTGACATGGGGATGTTATTTCAATATATAAAGCATGCCTTCGGAGGACATTAAAATCATTATTTGCCTTCTGCTTTCCCTTTTCAAAGTGCCTCCTCTTCTAGCTTACTTAGAATGATATTAACATTTTAAGAGCCACACACAGTCTGTCGCAAAGCTGCATGTATACATGCAGCATTTAATGTCATGGAATGCTGACAGCAATGACGAGGATAACCGTGAGGGACAGCCGGGCAGCTCAGGCAGATGCCGCTGCATTGCCCCGTGACGGTTTGCCTCACTGGCCGGCCCTGTTCCCTCTCTCAGTACTGTGCTTTCATAAGAGAAGACAGGGGCTTAACCTTCGGCCCACAGGCTCAGCGCCTCTGGTACTGAGATCCTGGGATAGCCCCGACTAGCGAGTCATTCCCTACTGAATCTCATTACTTTGAAGATTACTGTTTCAGCTGCCACTTTTGCAACTGAGGTCACTATAAAGGGATTCAATTCCAAGTCAAAATCGCTTTAGAATTTTTTTAACTTCAACTTTGCATACTGTTCCTTTTTCATGTTCCTTTTTATTGAACTTCTACCTTGGAAGCCAGTTTCACTTACGGGATCTTTTCTCTTCCCACACCCTTGTCACTCTAAGTCTGATCCGCCCTCTGCCTCCTAACATACTTCATTCCTGCGCGTCTACAGTCCTCCTCGCCCCTTGGTCCAGCTTCACCCCTCCTGGAGCCCCAGGCCTGCCCTGTTCTCCTCCTTGCTGCAGTGGCTCCTGGCTGCGGCTGCTCATTACAGCATCCCCCTCACAGCTACCACACGGCCTTTAGAGTTGTTGGCACTCAAGGGCAGACGCTGAGAGGGTGGAAGGTATATTAGGTTGTTGGGAGAGTCATGACATATTTTCCCATGAAGAAATGTGTCATGACTTTCCTGATGACCCAGTAAAAGCAGGGACAGCACGTACGGAACCAGAGACTACCCTGAGAAGGTGGACAGTTGGGGATGGGAGGGGCGGCTCAGGAAAAAATCTCACAGACAGAAGAATGGAAACTTACTGTGCACAGTAATGATTTGCTTGACGTGCAGTGTAGTTATTGAGAACCTATATCATACGCTGTAAAGAGGTACAATGATTAACTGTAAATTGAGAAAAAGAGAAAGAGTCAGGGACGAAAGAGAAGCAGGAAATAAACCAGGAGCTCTGCCTGCTACACGTGGGGACAGTGGGCCAGGAAAGTTAAACGGATGCACGATCCCAATGAAAAGGACGGGAACACAACTTCTGTGACTATCCCATGCCCTGACCCGCTTCCACAATTTTATTTTTCATTTTTTTAGGTTTTTGCTATAGGACGCCTGCACTCACTGGAGAGAGACAGAGAAAGAGAGAGAAAGTGTGAAATCACCCCCTAGGAGTGATGGCTACCCACAATCCTTTTTTCTTCATTCTCCTCTTGGGATTTTGGGCACACACACACACACACACACACACACACACACATGCACCCAGCATGAATTTCAATCTGCCAGGTCCGGGATTGAACTGTGGTCAGCCACATGGGAGTCCAGCGCCTTAACCACCATGCTTCCTACTGGCCCCTGACCATAGTTTTTAAAAAAACATTTCACCCCATCTTGTGCCATCGTCTGCCCTTGATGGTTTGTCTGCACTTGGAGTCTGGATCTGTTCTAACCCAGGTTTTTGTATTTGCTGCTATTTTGGTCTTTAATCACACTCTAGATAAGAAAGCAACTTTCTGGTTGGAGCATATTGTCCGTCTTTTATAAAGGACCGAAGATAGGTGAAGCAGGGGCTGTTGTCAATGACTCTATAAGATATTTGATGCTTTAGCAAGCAGACGCTGAAGTAAGACCTTGACGACAAACGCTGACACCACACAAGTCATCTCAGGAATGCTGCCAGTGGTACATATTTATATTTACATGTGAGTTTTTACCATTTGACCATTTTCAAATCAGTGGAAGACACAGCACAGCCCCCGAGGCACCATCTGTGGCAAACTCTGCATGGAGGGGTCTCCACAAATGAGCCAGGGAGAACCCATCAATGCGTCACCGCCCTAAGACCCCCTACCACAGAATGACCTTGTTTTTAAACTGTCTGGAGAAGCTGCAACAGGCCAGTTGCCAAGTTTATTTAATTACAGTGAAATCACAAAGCCTACATTTCACCACAGCCTCTCCTACAACTCGGACCCTGAGGCCGGACAGTGGTGTACAAACCTTTTTTTTTTTTTTTCTTGGAGAGGTTTTCGCTATAGGGCGCGTGCTCTCGCCAGACAGACAGAGAGAGACAGAGAGACAGAAAGCGAGAAATCACCCCCTAGAAGGGATGGTCATGCCGCAATCCCTTCTCCTCCATTCTCCTCTCGGGATCTTGGGCACACACGCACATGCACCCGGCGTGAGATTTAAGCCACCGGATCTGGGACGTGAACCACGGTTTACCATGTGGGAGTCCAGCGACGTAGCCATTACGCTAACTGCCGGTTCCCCAGTGGTGTACAAACCTTTCTGGCTTCCAGAGGAGGAAAGGAGACAGTGACTGCAGACAGGGAAGAAATGGAGTCAGCTGAACAATCACTATTGTGGCTTGTAACTAAGGGGGAGACTCACTTTCTTAGCTTTACCAGATGTCTGTGAGATGGAAGATACCCACCAGGCAGAGATAGTTCAACTGAGTACTTAGCAAAACAAAATTGTAGGTCTTATTTCTTAGGCCTTCAAATGGCTCAGATCCTTGTCAGGAAGAAGAGGGAAAAAAGCTACACTAAATAATAATATTTAATATTCTTATTTTGAGTTTCAGAATGTGTGCAGATCATACTTTCAAGAAAAAATGCTTTTCTTTGCTGTGTATGTAAATTGTCTGAGAATTACTTAGAAAGGTCTGTGAATGTACGCATTTCCTCCCAGAATTACCTGTGAGATGCCGGAGAGGTGGCAAGTCTCCTCTCTGAAAGCGAGGTGACCGTGACCGCTACGTGACCTTGCTCGGAATGCCAAAGCCCATGTCTACCGTCTTGCCCTGGAGAATTTTAGAAAGCACACCGCAAACTATGGAATCTGGTTGTCCTCTGCCCCAAGCAGGGGACCTATGGCAAAAGCTAGGACAGACAGGAGAGGAGGACAGTTTGGAGGACGACTTCTCTCTGAGGAGGAAGGAGAAGGGCAAGTGCTGATATGGGAGGCAAGACCCAGAACTGGGAGTCCACATGAAGAATCATACATGAAGTTTTAACTTTTTCTTGTTACCTATGGCCATAGGAATATTTATTAGTAAAATCCAGTTTTTATTTTGATTTGCTCTTATTATTTTTATTTTGTTCATTTTATTTACCTTTTATTCACTTTTTTCCACTCATTTACTTCTTCCAAGCTTATGTGTCGTGTGTTGCTCTTGGGGTTGCAAGTGACAGACACCAAGCTCAAAGTCCCCGGGTAGGTCAATCTCAGGTCATGTAAAAGCAAGAATGACCAGGCTGGAGTAAGCTGGATTCAGGGAATTAAACTATTTCATCTCTTAGTTCTGTTTAACGAAGTTGGTTTCATTCTCGATCTTTTCCAGAGATAACAGAGTGCCGCACAGTTAGCAGCCCTGCAGACGTACGTGGGAAGACGCTAAAAACCGTTCTCATTGAGGGGAAGTAATCCGAGAAGAAGCCTAGATCTTCAGGAGAGCGCGAAGGTCTGCCTTTCACTGTGAGGTCTGTGTTTGCATTTGTCATTCTCCCTCGTTACGCTCAAGCCCGGAGAGAGCCTTCGTTTACCTTTGATTCTCTGCAACATACTCAATATCCATGGAACCGGAAGATTCCACTGGGCAAGTTAACATTTCTTTTGATTCTCATTTCCAAGGGGTTCCGAGGTCCAAGGTCCAGGACCCCTCTCTGCATTCTTCAGTCTTTGATACCAAGAGGGCATGATCGATGTTCTACCTGTGAAAAATCCTAATCTTGACAGGACTCTGCACACTGGAAACCTGTTAAAAACATTAAAACACAGGATTTCCAAATCCGTATCTCCAAGTGGCACCCATTTGACTTTCAGTAAAATGGTTAACTGATTGTGTCTGTGCTCGCTGGCAGTCATAGGCCTCAGGAAACTCTATCTATTGTGTTATTACACACATAGTTCGAATTCCCTGCTGTGCCTCTCCAGTTGGATGTCAGCATATTCAAAAGTGAACTTATCTAGCTCCCACAGTAATTTCCAGCGCTAAGATTTTTCCTACGTATCCATTAGACTTCATGCTGTGGAGGGAAAATAGGGGTCATTTGTTTATCAGCTTGTTCACCATCATCTGATACGTAAGAGTAGAATAAGTGCTTTTTTTTTTTTTTCTTGGAGAGGTTTTCGCTATAGGGCGCGTGCTCTCGCCAGACAGACAGAGAGAGACAGAGAGACAGAAAGCGAGAAATCACCCCCTAGAAGGGATGGTCATGCCGCAATCCCTTCTCCTCCATTCTCCTCTCGGGATCTTGGGCACACACGCACATGCACCCGGCGTGAGATTTAAGCCACCGGATCTGGGACGTGAACCACGGTTTACCATGTGGGAGTCCAGCGACGTAGCCATTACGCTAACTGCCGGTTCCCCAGTGGTGTACAAACCTTTCTGGCTTCCAGAGGAGGAAAGGAGACAGTGACTGCAGACAGGGAAGAAATGGAGTCAGCTGAACAATCACTATTGTGGCTTGTAACTAGGGGGGAGACTCACTTTCTTAGCTTTACCAGATGTCTGTGAGATGGAAGATACCCACCAGGCAGAGATAGTTCAACTGAGTACTTAGCAAAACAAAATTGTAGGTCTTATTTCTTAGGCCTTCAAATGGCTCAGATCCTTGTCAGGAAGAAGAGGGAAAAAAGCTACACTAAATAATAATATTTAATATTCTTATTTTGAGTTTCAGAATGTGTGCAGATCATACTTTCAAGAAAAAATGCTTTTCTTTGCTGTGTATGTAAATTGTCTGAGAATTACTTAGAAAGGTCTGTGAATGTACGCATTTCCTCCCAGAATTACCTGTGAGATGCCGGAGAGGTGGCAAGTCTCCTCTCTGAAAGCGAGGTGACCGTGACCGCTACGTGACCTTGCTCGGAATGCCAAAGCCCATGTCTACCGTCTTGCCCTGGAGAATTTTAGAAAGCACACCGCAAACTATGGAATCTGGTTGTCCTCTGCCCCAAGCAGGGGACCTATGGCAAAAGCTAGGACAGACAGGAGAGGAGGACAGTTTGGAGGACGGCTTCTCTCTGAGGAGGAAGGAGAAGGGCAAGTGCTGATATGGGAGGCAAGACCCAGAACTGGGAGTCCACATGAAGAATCATACATGAAGTTTTAACTTTTTCTTGTTACCTATGGCCATAGGAATATTTATTAGTAAAATCCAGTTTTTATTTTGATTTGCTCTTATTATTTTTATTTTGTTCATTTTATTTACCTTTTATTCACTTTTTTCCACTCATTTACTTCTTCCAAGCTTATGTGTCGTGTGTTGCTCTTGGGGTTGCAAGTGACAGACACCAAGCTCAAAGTCCCCGGGTAGGTCAATCTCAGGTCATGTAAAAGCAAGAATGACCAGGCTGGAGTAAGCTGGATTCAGGGAATTAAACTATTTCATCTCTTAGTTCTGTTTAACGAAGTTGGTTTCATTCTCGATCTTTTCCAGAGATAACAGAGTGCCGCACAGTTAGCAGCCCTGCAGACGTACGTGGGAAGACGCTAAAAACCGTTCTCATTGAGGGGAAGTAATCCGAGAAGAAGCCTAGATCTTCAGGAGAGCGCGAAGGTCTGCCTTTCACTGTGAGGTCTGTGTTTGCATTTGTCATTCTCCCTCGTTACGCTCAAGCCCGGAGAGAGCCTTCGTTTACCTTTGATTCTCTGCAACATACTCAATATCCATGGAACCGGAAGATTCCACTGGGCAAGTTAACATTTCTTTTGATTCTCATTTCCAAGGGGTTCCGAGGTCCAAGGTCCAGGACCCCTCTCTGCATTCTTCAGTCTTTGATACAACATTACGGTGGGCAAGAGGGCATGATCTATGTTCTACCTGTGAAAAATCCTAATCTTGACAGGACTCTGCACACTGGAAACCTGTTAAAAACATTAAAACACAGGATTTCCAAATCCGTATCTCCAAGTGGCACCCATTTGACTTTCAGTAAAATGGTTAACTGATTGTGTCTGTGCTCGCTGGCAGTCATAGGCCTCAGGAAACTCTATCTATTGTGTTATTACACACATAGTTCGAATTCCCTGCTGTGCCTCTCCAGTTGGATGTCAGCATATTCAAAAGTGAACTTATCTAGCTCCCACAGTAATTTCCAGCGCTAAGATTTTTCCTACGTATCCATTAGACTTCATGCTGTGGAGGGAAAATAGGGGTCATTTGTTTATCAGCTTGTTCACCATCATCTGATACGTAAGAGTAGAATAAGTGCTTACAGTTTAAGGAACTGAAAACTAAACACAACACTGCTATCGTGACTAGAAATTTTTGAATCAATTGCCTTTTATCCCTTGTTTTACCCTTCACCTTAGCAATGTTTATCTCATAATTATTTCTCTAAAGTGGTCCTATCTAATCCCAGTGCTATATTTATATGTTTGCTTGAACTAATATAATAAAAAAGAAGAAAAGAATCACTTTTGATTCTTTTTTATTAGTTCAGGCAAACATATACATTGTTTTTTTCTCCGAGTTAAGTCTCCATAGTAACATAAATTTCCTTTTTTCCTAACCATAAATGTGATCTGACCTGTGACCTGCTCGAAACATCTAATAACTGCTCATTATCTGAATGATAAACTTCAAACTCTGTAGCCATGTGATTCTGCTTTACTTTTTTGTTTTTGTAATTTTTGACATATAATCATTATTCATCTTTGTGAGGTACAGTTTGGTTGTTTCAAGCATGGACACAGTGTGTAAATTAAAAACACAACAAATTTGGGTCATTAGGGGGCATGGAGATTAAGGTGGCTGGATCCCACATGGCTGACTGCACCATTCCAGTCCTGGACCTAGCAGCTTGAAAAAGTGTGTATGACCACAATCCTGAGAAGACAATGGAGGAGAAGGGATTGTGGCGTGGTCATCCCCCGATGGGTAATTTCTCACTTTCTCTCTCTCTCCCTCTGGCCCTCTCCAATGAGCACATGCACACCATAGTAAACTTCATATGCACACTCGTAGTAAACTTTACACACACACACACAAATATACTCATCTTCAAGATCTAACATCATGGTACTTTGTGCACATTCAATATTTATTCTGTTCATTTTCTTGGGGAGTAGTATGTGATCGTCAATTACTCTTTTTACTCTATTAGAACACCATTCAAAAAACTATTTCATTCATTTACATTCTGTGTCTGCCAGTCATTTTCTCCCAAATTCCCCTTCCACCCCCTTTTAGCTTCTAGTGTCTATGATTACTCCTACTTTTACGCTATGGAATTTTTAGCTTCTGCTAAGAGTGAGGACACTCGGTTTATGTTCAGCGAGGACTCACAGCACTTGCCTTGCATACCTTGGCTTCTCTCTTCTGAGTTTCCCCACCGGTGCCAAGTGACAGAAGACCATGGCTCTTCGTGGTTGAATAGTATCTCCTCTTAATGCAGCCATGACAGTCACGTAGTTGATTCCACGTCTCAGCTATTTCGAATAAGCTACCATGAAGGTGGATGCACACGTGTCCCTCTGACTGAGTGATCTCCTGCCCTTTGGGTCTGTATGCAGAAGTAGGATTTCTGAGTCATATGATAATTCTATATTTAGATTTTAACGGGGCCTCCATACTGTTTCCACATAGTCTGTAATAGTTTCCATTCTCAGGAGTGTACAAGTGTTCCTCTTTCCCCACAACCTTTTCTAGCACTTGTTATTCTTAGTTTTTTGTTTGTTTCTTTTATTTGTTTATTTTTAACCATAGCCATTCTGATGGGTTAGTTGGTGCTTTGTTGTAGTTTTGGGTTGCATTTCCTTTGTGATAAGAATGTTCTCATATGCTGTTTAGTCATTTTGTATGTCTTGCTCTGAGAGTTGTCCATTCAGATCAATTGTCCATTTAACAGAATGATTGCTCTTTCTGCAAGTGAAATGCTCAAGTTCCCTACATATTCTGGTTATCAGTCCCTCATGCGAGGTACATTTCGCAAACACTACCTCTTATTTGTGGGTTGTCTCCTGGTTTCCTTTGCTGTGCAGAAGCTTTTAAGTTTGATATAATCTCATAATACCTTGTCTATTTTTGTTGTTGCCTGTGCTTTGGGGACCTTCTTTAAGAAATCCATTATTTTGAAGTATTTCTCTTACACTTTCTTTGAATGGTTTTATAATTCTGGGCTTTATATTTAAACCTTTCATCAGTTTTAGGTGAATTTTTGTAAGCAGTGAGAGATAGAGATCTAGTTCCATTCTTCTGTAGGTGGGTATCATCGTCTATTGAAAGGACTGTCTCCACTGACACTTTTTGGAACTTCTGTCAAAAACCAGTTGGCTGTTTCTTGTTGAATCTATTTCTATGGGTTATCTGTTCTCCTTTGGTCTATGTGTCTGTTTTCATGTCAGTGCCATGCTGTTTGGGTTATTCTGTCTTTGTAATATATTTGAAGCCAGGTAGAGAGATGCTCCTACGTTATCCTTTATGCACAGTATTGCCTTAATGATGTAGAGCTTTTGCGATTTCAGAAAAAGTTTATTTTTTAAAATATTTCTCTGAAGAATGTCTGTAGTATTTTCATTGAAGTTTCATTGAATTCATAGATTAGTTTGAATAGTATTAACTATTTGATTCTTCTAATTCATAAGCAAATGAAGTCTTTATTTTTTATGTCTTTTTAAATTTCTTTACCGAGTTTTTATAGTTCTCCTT